AGGTCTACGGTCCATCCGAGATTCTGATCGTGTCTACTGCGGCGAGCCCTAGATCAAAGCTCTTCTCGATCGTTGAAGAAAACCTCGAAGACATTGGAAGTAAGCTGACCCTGCTTGATCGCCGCTACTGGGCTGAGTCGACCGGATATGAGTACATTCAGTCTTTAGCGTTCAGAGAGGACGTCGAAGCAATCAAGATTTCCGTCACTGGCAACTACTATGCGGTGTGCTGCATCGCAGCAGTGAGTCCTTTGTTTGACTTCTGAGTGCTATTCATAACCCAATTTATAGGCACTCAAGTACATTGATCTGGGCTTAGGTATGGTCTTCTCCGCTCACTCCCTTCGTATGAGATATGAGCCATCTGAAGGATCGATGATGATCGATGTGTCTACCATTTACTCGCTTGAACTGGTTCAGAATCTCCGCGATCCGAAGTCAAGAGATTGCCTATTTGGTCTTCTCAACGAGACATTGACGCCCATGGGAGCACGCCTTCTTCGGAGCAACGTCTTACAGCCACTCACGGAGCCAGAGGTACTCAACACACGGTATGCTGCAGTCGACGATATGACCAAAAAGGAAGAGTTGTTCTTCGCAACCCGGGCAGCGCTGAAGGACTTCCTCGATGCCGACCGCATACTGACTGCGCTGATTGTCGCTCCAAGCAAAACCACTCTGCAGACAACGGAGCAATCCATTAATCACGTCATTATGCTCAAGCAATTCGTTAACTCCGTAAGCCCGGTCTTCGAAGCCCTTACTGGAACTGCATCTGTCATGTTGAACAACATCCGGGAGATATGTGCCCCAGAGAACGTCGCACCTGTCCAGGAACTTATCGACCGTGTCATCAACGAGGACACCACATATGCAAGGCAGCCTTTGGAGCTCAGGAACCAGCGCACTTATGCCGTGAAATCTGGTGTGAATGGGCTGCTTGATGTTGCGCGTACGACTTACAAAGAAGCTACTGAAGATGCGTACCAGCATTCAACAGAGCTCAGTCGTGAGATACAATTCATCGTTTTCAGTAAACCCGCTCACTAACTTCGTGAAGAGGAGTGCGATATTCGGCTAGACCTCAAATACGATACGGCACGCCAGTTCTACATAAAGATCGCAACAACCGAGCTGGAAGGCAAAGCACTACCGCCGATATTCACCAACATCATTCGCCGCAAGAACAACATCGAATGCCAGACTTTAGAATTGATGAAGCGTAATCAGAAGGCATGTGGCTACATGCAGTGATTCGGGCTTTGCTGACCACTATCAGATCGCCATGTCGCACCAAGAAGTCATCCTCATGAGTACAGTCAAACTTGAAACGACGATGCTCCTGTTTACTAACCATCATCAGGCGATGAAGCGGTCGACGCTCTCATCGATGAGGTCCGCAGTCATGTGTCTATCTTGTTCAAGATCTGTGAAGCAGTCGCGATGCTAGACATGGTGACTATGCTTCGACTGTCTGTCATGTTGATGAGGCTGACCGAGAGAAGATTGCGGCCTTCGCTCATCTGGTCACAGTGAATAACTACAGTGGGTAGCATCAGTTCCATGGCGCTCAACGTAAGCCAGGCTGACATCTCCTCAGCTCAGCCGCAGCTCACCGATACGCTTGCAATCGAGGCCGGAAGACACCCGATCAAGGAGAAAATCATGAAGAGCAAATTTGTCCCCAACGATGTCTATGCTACACAACAGACGCGGTTCCAGATCATCACTGGTTGCAACATGAGTGGCAAGAGCACTTATATCCGATCCGTGGCTTTGATGACAATCATGGCTCAGATCGGCTGCTAGTACGTTTGATTGGATTACAAACTCTGAATCTCTGTGTACTAACTGCTTGCAGCGTTCCTGCTAACTATGCCTCATTTCCTATTCTGCATCAGCTGTTCGCTAGACTGGGCATGGATGACAACATTGAAACTAATGTTTCTACCTTTGCCGCGGAAATGAAAGAGATTGCATTCATCCTACGCAATGTTGATCGACGTAGCTTGTAGGAAACCGATCCATGAGTGGGTACCATATCATTGCTGACAGAAAGTAGAGTCCTAATCGATGAGCTAGGTCGAGGCACCAGTACTAGAGATGGTCTAGCCATTGCGTTAGCTATCGCGGAAGCCCTCGTTTCGAGTCGCGTATGTGAATGTACCCCATTGCTGCCGCCTTCTAACGTATCACAAGGCTCTTGTTTGGTTCGCAACCCATTTCAAAGATCTTGCGACTATCATGAGTGACCGCGCTGGAGTTCAGAACCTACACCTGGCAGTTGAGGTGAGGGCGTTTCCATTCTTCCCACATCAAACCACTCACATTCTTAGATGGAAGACGCGCACAGCATGATGATGCTCTACAAGACCGCCCAGGGAGTCGTCCAAGAGATCCACTATGGCCTAACGCTTGCGCGTGTGGTTCCTTTCCCACCCGGGGTTGTGGAGCATGCTAGCTTGGTTGCACAACAGGTCGAGCGTCATATGCTGCGAAAGAAAAAAGCATCCGAAACTATGCTCAAGGAGAAGCGACGCAAGCTCGTCCTCAATCTCAAGGAGCATCTCGTTCAAGCACACACTGGTGTGTTGGAGGGGGACGTTCTCACTGCATGGCTTAAAGAATTACAAAAGGAGTTTGTGAATCGTATGACTGCTCTGGAAGCTGAATCTGCAAACGCAGCTCAAGAGAGTGAGGACGAAGAGATGATAGACAGGAGCGAGCTGAGTGAAGAAGAGCGACCTAGCACGTCCGCCAGTCCGTCGGTCATATCAATTGACTCGCATACTAGCTCCACGGATTCTGATTCTACCATCCGGGCAATGTCAGAAGCATCTACTCTGAGAGCAGTCTCCAGTAACGAGCGCTAGCAGTAGCGACCATATGCTCCTATGGTTGCTAGTAACGTGAGGAAGGGCTGATATACGTGTAGGCAAGAGATTGCCGTATAAAGGCCTTCAAAGCCCAGTATGATCAAAATCAGACCTCAATAGGATAGTGACTGATATACATCTGTACATAACCAGATTTACTCGTGAAAAGACCCCAAGTTCAAGCGCGAAGCCCACAAGACTAGCATCAGGGTCACAAAAGTTGATCCGGTGTCGATCTTGCCGAACTTGTGTCTGGCCCACTTAGCGCGTGAAGCATCGGATTCCAGGGTCATGATTGGAGGCGCTGCAAAGTGCGGGGGTCCTTATCGCTCCTTCTCCGATTAAATCCCTACTTCGGACGGAACAACTCCAGGGCTGCTGTCGGACCTTGCAACCTTATATAAGCGATCGTATACAGACCCTCATCGCGGCAACCGTCCTGTCGCTCGTTAGAGCGCGCTAGGTGAACGCATGCAGTGCAACCAACCCAGCACCTTAGTACCCGGCACCCCGGTGCACTGCTGCTCGTCGTCCAAAGGCTACCCCAGCCTGCCGAGTCGGCCCCGTATGGCATGGTCTTAGCGTGGCGTTCACCAGCCGCGCGAGCATCAGCTTCAGTCATCATTCGCACTATCTTTGCTTTCCCTGTCAATCTAAAGCGCCATGCCTCGACCGAAGAAACCCGGGGTAGAACCTAAAAGAAGATCGCGAAATGGCTGCTGGTATTATCCTAGATCAATGGAGTCTGTTCATTCTTACTCACCAAACACAGGCCGTGTAAAGCTCGAAAGGTCAAATGGTAAAGCAGTTCTAATCGTGGTCTTATCAGAGAGTACTAATAGCATCTCACAGTGGAGAAGAGAAGCCAAGCTGTACCAACTGCGAGCGCCAAGGGGAAACATGCGACTACAGCATAAGACTCAACTGGGGAGGCCGTTCAAAGAAAGATAAGACAAGTACAGCCTCTGATGCTTCGAGTGCAGCGTCTGGCAGTCCGTACCAGTCCTCCTTCCCATTTGAAGAGAACGTTTTCTCGTCTGCCCCCGAACACCCCGTGCAATCACAACATGCACGATCAACATCAAGAACATCCCCACCTAGATCTACGCATTCCATTGATCCAGCTTTGATGCAAAAGCCGCATGATGCCATCCGTACTGAAGCGTCGGGTGCGGACATCTACCTTCAAAACCAAACATTCACGTCCGTTCCCTACAACCATACACAGTATCAGAGTACTGTTGACGCTCGGTCGCATATCACGTATGATTCGGCTGCCCCCAACTCCCGTAACGCTGGGTTCACATATGCCAATCCTACGATGCCGCCGCCACTGCCGGTTTCAGTGGATTCGATGGCCAAACGCCAGCAGTATGGCTTCTCTACAGACTCGAACACACCAACGTTCCCAGACACAGATTCGCCAAACACACTTTCACCAACGCCATACAGTCCCTACTCGGCTATGCCGCTAACACCGATGTCAATTGGATCTGAAGGAAACATTATGCAAACGTCATCAACACCGCAAAATTCAGCACAATCACCGCCAGATCTCCGTCGTGTGTCTGTCCAGTCTCTCATCAATGATCTTCCAAGGAAGAGATCACGGCCGGCCGGTGACGAGGTCGGACGTGGCCGACAATACCCAATTGCTGATTCTGCTTTCACCACCTACGGATACGACTTGGGTCTCCCTGATATCGATACTCCGAGAAATGACGACTTTTCTGCTATTGCCATCTTCAGCCCTCAAAGCAACACCATGGGATTTAACGAGGACACACCGTATGGTAGCGCTGATCCCCACGGCAAAGACATGGCCTTCGAAAGCGGGGGTTATTATGCAAAACCAGTTCCGATCAGGATTTCGAAGTCTTTAGAACCACTGCCTTCACTGCTCGTAGAGAACCAGATGAATCTCCTGTACTTCCATCACTTCATCAATCACACAGCGCGGGTTCTTGTCAACCATGACTGCGAGCGGAATCCGTTTCGAGAGATTTTACCAGAGAGTAGGTAAACGTTACTCTTCATGGATCATTGTTAACAGTGGCAGTGGCTGTACAAGACGAGAACATAATGAATCTTCTTCTCGCATATAGCGCGGCACACCGAGCACGCATGCTCAATCACCCCGAGCCCTCAAATCGCATCGCCGTCTGGGTGCAAGACGTATTCCCCAAGCTACGTGAAGCGCTCAACGATGATCCCAACACTGTATCCGACAGTACTTTAGCAGCAGTGATAATGATGGCGAGTCTGGAGGTTATATCTTCTGGAACATTCGAGGTCCCCGTATCCTGGCAAAGCCATCTAACCATGGCACGCCAGATGATCATCCAGCGTGGCGGACCAAAGGGCATGGGGCGGCATGATCGTGTGGCCTACTTCCTTTCGCGCTGGTTCGCATACCTCGACGTCCTCGGCTCGCTGAGTGGGAACAAGAACGACACACCTCTTGGCTCTTTCTACTGGTCTAGCGAAAACGCTTCCGCGGACGAAGATTTTGAGATTGACTGTCTAATGGGCTTTACAACAAGATGTGTAGGATCTTTGGCTCGCGTTTCTGAACTAGCGAAGCGCTGTGAACCGCAGCGCATTGACGAAGAAGGCAATGTGAGGGAGGGCTGGACTCCTAGCCCTGAGATTGTAGAGGAAGCCATCGAGCTTCGTCACGCACTGGAGGAAGGCTTACTGGGCCGCAACATCAGGAAAGGATGCAACCACCGCTCGAGTACCTCCTCTGAGTCTGAAGGTGCATGGGATGCAACCGAGATCTACGCGACCAACGAATTATTCCACTGGGCGGGCCTAATCCACTTGTATCGTCGCGTTCTCGGAAAACCCGCCATGGACCACGAAGTTCAGCAAGCCGTGCGAGAGATTGTGGGCCTACTGTACAAGATCCGGAGAGGAAGTACAGCAGAGGCATGTTTGATCTTTCCCATGTTTGCTGCTGGCTGCGATGCGCAAGATGAAGGACAGAGGGAGAAGATCATTGAGCGGCTGAGGAGTGTGGAGGGCTTCGGACTGAACCATGTAAGCTCCTGCCATCAGAAAGTAAAGACTGACTTGCTTACTCCGTATCAGGTACCCAAGATCAGTACGCTCATGAAGAGCGTCTGGGATACCGGTAAACCTTGGGAGTCGCTCGTCTCTGGCGAGTTCTTCGGTTGAGGATACCTTTGTGAGGAGATATGGCATTGCCAACTAGGGTCCACGAATCGATGCGATGACTATGAAGAGTCACCACCGAGTGCTAGTAACACTGTAGTCATGTTAGTCCCGAATATGTCAGTTGAGAGAGCAAGGAACCCGACAGCATGGCCATCTGGTGGATTCAAAGAATTGATTTCTGGGCAATGAGGCTTTGACTGCCCATGTAGAGTCAGCGCAAGAATGGGTCCGTCGATTGCACGCCCTCGACGCCGAGTATGAGAGATGCGATACACTAGCCAGTCTAAGGACCTGGAAGAAGAGAGATTGATGGATGTGAGGCTTGAAAGAAACTTGGTGCGAATATCAGACTGGTGCGATATTACAAAGGAAGATAGCATAGCGCATGGGCATGTAGAGAGGCAGATCGACCGACGACTACCAATTGAGTGTAGGAATACAGTATTTCCGAGGGGTATCATCCATCCATCTGATATACATATCATCATATTATACAAATGCCCTCCGTGAAGCCTCGACCCCTCTGACCCACCACATCAGCATCCACGCACCAAAATTCCCACCCTCACCAAGGCCACCAACCCCCTCTAGCAACTCTCCCCACAGCCCTCGTCCCCTTCCCCACCTCATCAGCCCCCTCCCTAACCTCCTCCACAACCGCATCAACCGCCTGTCCAAACTCCTCCCTCTCCCTCTCCATCGCCTCAGTAGCCTGCCCCCACTTCTGCTGCGCCATCCACCGCTGTTTCTCAATCGCCTGCCGCAGCTCCTCCTGCAAATCGCGTATCTCGGCTTTTGTGTCGTGTGTCTCTTCGATGGCTTCGAGTTTGTACCACAGGTAGTAGGTGAGTTGGTATGTGAAGAGGGCGCCGAGGAAGCATTTTAGGAGGGGCGAGCCGAAGGTGCCGTAGTATGCGCCCTGTGAGGGATTTTGTTAGTATGGAGGGTAGAGGGAGGGTGGTTGTTGGGGTATGACGTACTACCCGCGATGGCTCTTTTGGCGGCGGTGCTGAGTTTGGGTTTGGCGGCGAGCTGGGGGGATGCGGTGCTGGTGCTTCGGCTGCGTATGTTCTTCGGGATGTCTGGCCTATGCGCTTGGGTATCGCGCTTCTACTCCATATCGACCGTGTTGCTCTGATGTGATTCATGGTGTCGTAAAGCTGCCAACTTTTGTCCCCGCTTCTGAGCTCGTTCGGTCGCCGCTGCGTGGTCGCCAGGTATTGCGGGAGGGGAGGTGTCGAAGAACGAAAAGTATAACGTTGGGTTGTTTGCGAATATGCGACACAGATTATTGCGCCGACGGTGGTAGAGCTCTCCACGTGCAAAGAAGCGCAGATGCGACAAAAGTGCCTCCCGACAGAAAACGGTATAAACCTCCGTCCACTATCTCCGCGTATTCAGCTAATGCCGGTACCCTAGCGCCGCCGCACAGACCCACGCGATGCACTTTCCAAAGGGAACACGTTCACCATACAACTTGAACCCTCATTTCCGCTTCTCTTCTCCCCTCTTACCAGACACTAGACGCTCGCTTCCTTTTTCCCGAAACCCTTCCTGGACCGCGCGATTTACAGCCATCTACCTCGTTCCACGTACACAAACACACATCATAATGGTACGACACCATCCCCTTCGCGGCGCAATGGAGCGGCTCTCCCTCCTTTTGTCGCATTCATACCACAGATGGAATAGGCAGCTAACCATGGCCACCAATCCTACAGGCGCAAACACCACAACAACGCCAGGCAAACATGCGTTTCGCCAAGGCGCAGGAGAAGAAGATGGGCAAGCCCGAGTCAACGGAGCCCGTGGTCAAGAAGAGGGCGCCTCAGAAGAGCCCCATTAGCAGGTTCTGGATCAGTACGTTCTTCTCGCCCCGTGGTCTACATTGTTAGATCTTGTGAGGACATGTACTGACTAGTATTCCCACAGTTGTTCTTGCTTTCATACTAGTCGGCGGTCTGCTCTTCGAGGTCCTTAAGCTCTTCTTTTAGAAAGCTGGGGTCATGCGACGCGATGCGATCGATTACCGGACGAATACGACTTGGACCTCTACTTCGATTTCGATTCTACAAACGTGGGGAAACAACACAATGCATACATGTATGCTGCGAGAGCGGATACAAGGGAGAAGTTGGGGACATCTTGGAGGAGCAACTTGGCTTTGAGGCCACTTTCTTGCGTCAACTATATAGGGCATACGGCGTTATAGAGGCACCATTGCGGCATCAAGGGGACTTGGTATAGCCGATTTTGTGGTAGCAAAATACCATTGGGCATTTGATATCACATTTCTCCAAGACCAAAGACCCCATCCGCGGCGTACTTGGACTACTATTCCTCAGGTGCATCTGCACCCTCATCCATGACCACAGTCCGCCTCTTCTTTTTCTTCTTCTTGACTTTGCCTTCTTCCTCGCCCTCAGCTGCGCCTTCAGCTGCGTTCTCGTCTTGGCCCTCAGGTTTGACCTTCTTCTTTTTCTTTTTCTTGATAGGCGCTGCTTTTTCCTCTTCACCAACTTCCGCTTCCGGCGGAGGTGTTTCGGCTGGCTCGTCTCCTTCCACAGCAACCTTTCTGACCTTTCTCTTCTTTTTCTTGACTGCGACTTCTTCTTTGACGTGTAGTCTCTCGCTCGCTCGCTGCATCTCAAGCCGTAGTCGCTCGACTTCCTGGAGCGCCTTCTTCATCTCCGCGTCCTCCTGAGCTTTCCTTTCAACTTCGAGTTGAGTGAGCTTGCGATTTGATGTGCCTTCGTCATCCAAGCTCAATGACCCAAGACCGGAGCTGTCCACCTGCAACAGTGATTTCTTCGTCTTCCCTGGACGTGGTTGCGCGATGTCATCTCTCGAAGCGTCTGGTACAGCAGGTCCAAGTGTCTCATCGCCCATGATGTCGACTTTGCGCACAGGCTTGCGCGGACTCCGCGATCGCGGTAGATGTTCAGACGATGACCCTTTGCTGTCTAGGTTGAGCTCCATAATTGGGATCGAATCGATATCGAGCTCGTTGTTCTCCCTGTTGCCATCTCGCACTATCCTACTCAGTGGTGTGACTGCGCCGCTGCCCTTATCCGCTTCGGGGTCGATGTAGAACGGATCATCTTTGTAGCGTTCTTTTCTTTCAGCTTTCCGACGCGCAATGATATCAGCGTCCAGATATTCATCCTCCGCTGCGTTTTGGTATGATGTGGGTTCTTTATGCGGGGCATCTAGGCGATCCGCAGCCGGTGTAGCAACAGCAGGAGGCTCTGAGTACGCGGCTGCAGGCTCCGAATAAGCCGCATATACATCATCTTCCTCTGTCTCAAAGCCTTCTGCATCAGCTGTGTAGAGCAAATGCTGTAGGTTGGGGTTGATTGGTGTATCCAGATCCAGATCTTCAGGTAAAGGAACCTTGCGTTGAGCACCAGGAGCGACCGGGTTAAGCTCAGCGCCAGAAAAGAGGGCAGGTATAGCTTGGGTAAGTAGTAGAGGTGGATCGGTGAATGCGTCCTGGTCCGCGCTAGCAGCTGTGCCTGATGCAGCTTCTGCAGCGAGACGCATGAGTTCAAGGTACTCAACTGCCCGTTCCTGGACTTCCAGACTAGGGTGTGTGGAGAGCGGCTCTAAAAAGTGGATAATACGTGCCATGAGAAGGGACATGAGCGTTTTGCGCTCTGGAGTCCATGAGACTTGATCGTTTCCAGCCATGCTAGAGAAGACCTTGGGTATCGCTTGCAGATATACAGCGAGCGTCCTCGAAGATAGTTGGAGAGAAGATGGGTGTAGCAGAGAGGTCATGACTGGCTCCGGGCGAGTGAGGTAGTTGGCGTACTCTCCAACTAGCCAGCCAGCGTATTCCAGTACACCTTGGCCGCCGTTTCCGGATGCTGGGAACATCTGGTCTCTCCGATCAACGAGCACGAGCGATTGTGCGGCATCTATAGCTTCCGATCGAACACTCTTCACCCGAATGGCAACGTTCTGTAGTTCGTGTCCGATGCCACCACCAATGTCGTCTGAATGTTCTATTTCTTCCTCCTCTTCCATAACCGAGGTTGCTTTTGTTGCTGGTGATACCCTGACTAGCTGAGTAAGTACATCAATGTACCATTCGAAGTCGGCAATGTTGCTATAAGTATCGCGTGAGCACATCTCCAGGATCCTCCGAATGACGCTTATCCTGTAGTCGTCTGGCAGTGGCGGCGGCTGGTCGGATTTCTGTTCGTGCTGAGGCAGATTCTCTTCTGCGTCGGAGTCGTCGTCACCATAAGGTGATATGCCAGTCAGCCTACCTCTGTCGTTGTTGGGATCGCTCGCCGCTGAGGCAATTGGTGCATTTCGTAGCTGTCGCATCAGCCGTCCAACAATCGCTGTAAGGTTGTCTGCATTGACCATGCCAACCACCAGATCCAAAGCACGCATTCGTATCGAGATATCGGGGTCGTCTATGCATTCGAGGATGACGTCTTGCTGCTGGGAAACCAAGTATGGATGTGAGGTGACGATCTTCTCGAACGCGAGTAGTGCGACATATTTTACTGCAGATTGATGAGAAGCCAAACGTTGAATAACAGTGTATATTAGCTTACAGTTTGCATCTCCCTCTATGATCATCATGCCGCGTAGTTTGCCAACACATAGCTTTGCTACCTCCTCACCTTCCGCAGTGCCTTCTACGGCTTCTAGGATACCACCCTGGATGATACCACTGATACATTCGTAAAGTAACGACATAGCAGACGTCTCCCGTATAATCTTGGTCAACGGAGGTAGCAGTTTCTTGATGAGTCGAGGTTCTAATGGGGTTAATGTTGCAAACTAAGGCAGGTCAGTTCAAGTTCTGGTGTCATGTCCTCTGAGCTCAGTGCTTACAAGTTTGATGAGCTTAATGGCCATCCAGTTGTTGCCTCCTTCTACCAAGAGATCAAATAGTCTCGGTGCAAGCGGTAGGAAATCCTGTGGTCTCCGCCATCCCAGCTCGCACACGACATTGACGATTGCCGCTGTGACGCTCGCAT